AATCCTCATACGTTTAACTGTCTTGAAAAATCTGTTATCCGGCAAAATGGCGTATCTGTCGGCTATAAACGGACGACACGTAATAACGAATAATTGTTATCCCCTACGGCTAAGTATGGCAATATTTTTTTAATCGATTGATATTTCTATTTTATTGGGCTTTATTATTTATTTTCAATATATTTCAATTATAAAAATAATTTGCACTTATTCTCGCGGATTGAAAATTTTTACTTGAAACCTAACTCGTCGACCATGGGATTTGTGAGAATTTTATCGACAAATATAAGCTTAATTATACAAGCATAATTATATATAATGCCTCTTTTAATGATGTAATATAATTCCTTAACTTGCCGCTGTAATTTTACCCAGAGTCTAAAGACTTTCATTTAATTATTTATTTATTGCCGCATTAACATTTTCGTTAAAGAGAAAATCGATTACAGAATGATCGAGAGAGTGCATTGCAAGAAATACGGAGCTCAAATTTGTGGCTACCCAGTGCGATATTCGCAGTGATATACTCGCTCACTTCGCCGACGAACTCCATAAATACGACACAGCTGTGCGTATCTTGCTCGCTTGCCTCTCGGCGTCGGATAAGCGCCGGCGTGGCCAACATGCATGCAAAATTCGCGCGAATTAAAAGTATGTGCGTTTTGATTAATCGGTCGGCACGCGACGCGTTTAACGATCTCGATTGAGGAGAGAGAACGCGTCGCGCCGCGCGCCGCTTCGGCCACGCCGAGCGGGCGCGAATGACGTTTATTTTCATCGTGCTTGAATAACGGCAGATAAATTTGCGAAGGAAATATTACCGCGCGCTTTTCTCACGAAATTTTATCTTGCCGCGGCAGAGGGAACGCCGCGCCGGGCTGAGCGCCGGCTATAAATGTTGCGCCATGAATTTCGTCCGCGGCGGACGGCGAGCTTTTTTGCCGGCTTTTCAAGATAAAATCGCGGACCATCTGGCGCGGATATGCGTTTACAATTACCGTTGCGTCGCGAATTGCCTATGTAAATGCCGCTCGTTGTGCTCGCGTTTCGAACTGAACATCGCGGACTTTTTTTTTTTCGTTCGCGATTAATACGCGGCCGTCGTGCTAGCTCGGAATAACCCTCCGGCGAGGATTATCGACCTCGTGTATCGCTCGTTTCTCTCCTCTCTCCCTTTTTTTCTCCCTGCTGCCTCCGAAAACGCGCGGATACTCTTATCTGACGTGGCGGGGATAAAAAATGACGTCTGTCACGGATCGGGCCGTTCGAAAATCTCCCAATTGTGCGAAGGAGAGCTGAACGTCCCGGATTTTCAGGAGTAAGGCTCGGGCATATATCAGCCAGGCCTCGTTTCCCCCTGCGAAATCTTCTACGGAAATACGCTCTCCGCGTCGACAATTTGACCTCCGCACAAATATATTAGAGAGATTTCTTATAAGTATATGCGGTTCGACGTGTACGTGGCACACGCGATTATCACTCATTGACTTTTCTCAAGTACTGTATTTTTTGTCATCTAATTCACTTACTCCATCCAATAATATTATGCAGAATTTACAAAAAAAAAAAATAAATTTGTGATAAACAAATTTTTTATTTATTTAATATATTTGTATATAATCTCTGTTCTTTAATCTTCATTTAATTGACGTTTCTTAAAGAGTAAATAGATTTTTGGAATATATTAGAATAATAATTATAAGAAATTATAATCAGAAATAAACATATATATAATGTTCATTAAAGTATAAAATTAATAAAGTTTCATATAATGTTAGAATTCAGAATGCTTTTGTCTTGCGCGTTTTCTATAAAATGGCAAGTTAATGCATAAATTTATTTTTCCTGTTTTCAAATATTTTATGCTTGTTTTAGAAGAGATTACAAATTGATACAATAAATTTTACTCATCTGTTCATTGTTTTTGATTTTATTTCATGTTTTAATCTACTTTCTCGTATTCTCTTTTGTGTATATATTTATGTATTTAAATACCTTTAATTAAAAAATATTTTTCGAAAAAATACTTTTTATATAACTGTTTCATGGTTGTTTGAAACGTGAGGTTTTGTTATTTCTATACAAAAATGTACATAGATATTCATTCGTCGCTGATTACTTTTTTCTCTATGCGTTGATTAAAAATTTCTATATGTCTGCATTATTACTATCATTATTTTGTACGCTCACTCGCGTGCTTGAAACTAACAAACGGCACCTTTTTAGAGCAATATTCTCACTTAATGTTGTATAAAACTTACCGTATCGCATTGACACACAATGTGTAATTAGATTAATGGAATCCGGTTTAATCACTCGGATTATTACCTTTTACAGTGCATTAGCTATTTGTTTGTAATTCTGAATGGGAGAATGCCAATAAATAATTCTGCATTTATTAACAAGTATTCTCGTTATATTTAATCGGAGCCACATGTGTTTCAAATTCTTCATTTTCTTTTTAATCCGATTAAGTGTGGCGTGATAGTTATGTAAATTATTTACTGAAAATTGGAATGTTTCTGGGACGGTA